ATTGTAAACCATGAAATTATTTTATTATCTATGTCAGGTTTGTCAATTTATTTAAATGTCTTACGTTTTAAAAGCGATCTTAATCGTAAATTGATCGTGTCAAAAATAAAATTCAAAGGGTAATCTATCCAAAAATGTCTTAATAATTAACTTAAAATTGTCACTATGATATTTTGGATGATATAATAAAAAAACTCTGTCCACCATGCTCATAAGAACACCTCTTTTTTGTGAAAGAGGGTGAAGAGATAAAAAACTGAGATACCTCCCAGAGAAAGTTAACTTGTGATAAAGATTAAATTCTAATTTTCCATTCATATTGATTATCGTCACGTCTAAAAAATTCAATCGTTCACCACCTCTAAAGTAAATTGTAGCCTAGGATGAAAAGAGTTAAATAACTCTAGAAATTCATCAATTAAATGATTAGGAACAGCCGTCGCAATGTCATCTACATATCTAAAATAAAAGGGTAACTCAGTTCCAAATCTCTCCAACATTTCATTCTCTAAGTCCTCAATGACCATATCTGCAATGATGGGAGACAACGGAGAACGCATGGGTGTCCCAAACTTCTGAACATAAATTCTATTATCAAAAATAAAAAAGGTAGACTCTAATATTAATCGTAAAGCTTTAAGAAACTCATCCCTTGATATACCACAGCCACGAGTAATAAAATGCCATCTTTTTGACACACTTTTTATAGCCAAATCTAACGGAATGTTAGTGAACAGAGATATTGCGTCTAAAGAAACCAATGAAAAACCCTTCTTTAGTTTGAATAAACTTGACAGAATTATTAAGGTACAAAAAGATAGTCTTTCTCATGAATCAAAGAAGAATGTTGTTTGCAAAATCAATTATAAAAATTGCAACGCTTCTTATGTGGGACAGACTAGCCGTAAATTAAAGACGAGAATTAATGAACACAAAAATGACATTTACAAAAGGAGTAGAAATTAATCTGTTATTTCTGAACATAGGTTACAATTAGAGCATGAATTTGATTGGGTTAACACAGAAATTTTGGATTATGAGAGATATTTTGGTAAAAGGTTAGTGTCTGAAATGCTGAATATCAAAATGCAAGACAACGGTTTAAATTTGAAATCAGACACGGAGTTCTTGCACCATGCTTATACGAACATAATCAAGAAATTCTGATTAGTTTAAATATTCTGAAGCAGCTATCTACAATATGTTTCGATTCGATGACTTACGACAATTATTGTTTCCTTTCTTATTTATTTTTATTTTTCTTAATGTCGATTTCACAGTTGACTTTACGATTGACACTGCGAACGTTATGTCGTCTTGTAATTTATTTAATACTTCTTTCTTGTCAACTGAATTTATGGATTATATATTTTTTGTGCAGTTATGGTGTACAGTAAATAGATCTCCATACAATTTATGTTTTCCAATGTTTTTCTCTAACGATTTTGTGTTTGATTTAGTTGTCATTCAGTTAATCAACTAATTGAGAGTTACACCCACTCTCCGGATAAGGTAATCTGTGGGATTTACTTACTGCACTCCATGGCTTGAATTTGGATTGTCTTCCTGTTAGGATTATGAACTGCAAAATGCTGAGGATGGCTTGAACATAACCGAAACATTCATGTAATAGATAATTTTTTAATTATATGTATATAAGTTCCGCACGAATTACTGCGTTTATTTAGGCTCTTAAGGGGATGCTAAACCGATTACCCAACTCAATCAAGGTCGATAGTACAGACTTTTTAAATTCCAATTTCGATAATAGTGGCGACATCTTTGATTTAGTTTTTACATTATATTATATAATATATATCATTCTGTCTTACTCAAACGCA